GTTGTTGTTAATTTTCTAGCATTTGATTGCCTTATATGTAGGCCTATATAGCTTTGTAGCAGATTGGCAGCTTGCAAGGCGTTCTCGTTGTGTTTACTCGAACTATATAGTTGAAAAATTAGAAAAAAATTATAGATGTATATGTATTTACTAAATGTTCATTATGTATGGACTTTCCCTGCTTTCTGATTTGTTTAATATAGTTTAACTAAACCAAGTTTAGGAAAGAAAGGTTGTTTGTTTGACACAAACTAACTAATCCAAACCTCATCTAAATACGCACGAAGCATTAAAAGCTCCCTGTGCCAAACAAAACCCTTGTAGCGGACAGTTCATTTTATATATATGGGGCATTCAACAAGTAATTTCAGTGACAAATGGGAGTTAAAACTAAATATGTTCCAAATTTTGGAAAGGTACATTTTTGTCAAAGGATCTATAAACAAATTGAGACTGAGAGAGTATGTACTTATATAAAGTCCATATCCGCCTATTGGCCACAAAGGAGAAATTGTTCTATGTTTCTTAGCTGTCTTTTTGCTCTTGGAGAGTAAAGATCTTTATTGAGTTTCCTGTGTTCCTGAATTGCATTTGTTAGTTAGGTGGTGAGGATGTCGACAGCGGCGAAGAAGAGATTGATGAGGGATTTCAAGCGGTTACAGCAGGATCCTCCTGCTGGCATCAGCGGTGCACCTCATGACAGCAATATAATGTTATGGAATGCTGTTATATTCGGGTATGACATCTGGAATTGAATGAAAATCATGGTTCCATAATGATTTGGACTTTGGTGATTGATCCCTTCCCAAACTGCTGTATCTTTGTACTTACAGATTTTCTTTTTTTTCCTTGAAATGCAGTCCTGATGATACTGCCTGGGATGGAGGTGAGGCAACATTGCTAAGTGACTACCTTTGGTTATGATATGAATTGAAGCATTCTTGTTGAGTATCATTCTGCCATAGTTATGCTTCCTGTGACTTAGCTATGCCTTGGCAATTGCTGTTTCCTGCTTGTGTTTTGGTAAATCTCAGTGATTTATGAAAAAGTAAAGTGCCCTTTAACTGGCATATCGGAATGTTAGCTGCATATTTAGTGCAGCTATAAACAAATACTGTGTGGATATGGTCGACTGTGAGTTGCGAAATTGTAATTCATGAATCTTAGTATATGTTGCCTTGTGCCTTTAATTCTGGAATTTTCTTGTTCTATCCTCCCAGCAAAGAAGGTTTCTAGGATTGATGGCTGGTTCATGACCAGTGCCTTCTGCTGTATTAAATATTCTTTATAGCCTTATGCAGGTGGTTAGAGCAAGTGGCCCTCTTATCACTCACTGTTTCTTTAGTAACTTTCTAGTTTTATGTTGATCTTTGTCATCATTACCTTTTCATCTTCCATTAAAATTCTCCAAAGAAAGTAAAGCATCAAAATTTTGGCTAATTTGTTTGGACAATTGCTTTTACAATTCTCAGATATCTCCACTCAACATTGACTGTTCTGTTATAAATTTTTACTTGCAGGTACGTTTAAGATGACACTTCAATTTTCAGAGGATTATCCTAACAAGCCGCCAAAAGTACACTTTGTCTCCAGAATGTTCCATCCAAATAGTAAGTAGCTCAAATGAAATTACCCCCCTCTCCCCTCCTTCTATCTCTTCTCCTCTTTCTTCTTAGCAGAGCTGTAATCCTTACGAGTGGCTGAGTGGGTAAAACCATTCACTATGCAACTTCTTATGAAAGGATAAAATCTATTTATGCTCTCTTTTGTATACACATATATGTGCGTGTTTGTGTATGTTTACTATTATTGTGTTATGTATGGGAGGGCAAGGTTGGTTAGTGTTAATCATTGCAGCATTGTCTGGCCATTTGCAAAAACAACGTAATTTAGCCTCAATTGCAAGCTAGTTGGGATATGCTATATAAATCTTTACTATCCATTTTGTTCCATTTAGACCCGTCTTATAAGTTCTCTCTCATTTCTATTGATGTACAAATCATTCAACAAGATCAAAAAAACTCCCCACAAATATTGGACTAACAAAATTAAGTCTTTATCGCAACCAGTTGGTATTGCTTATAAAGATCTTTTCTTCCATTGTACTCTATTTTTTGCCAAGTTCGCATAAATTCCAAAAGATTATTAGTTTTTCGAAAAAACTTCCATGTACGTTTAGGTTTATCTCATCCCCTTTAAATATCGACCATCATGGTTTCATGCCTGAGGTGCACATTTGGAGGCAGACATAACAAAACCATCTCAAGCGACTTTCTCTTGTTTATCCTCTATGTGCTACTTGCACTTTTCACAAATATATGTAATCATTTTGACTCCAATTGTTTCTAGTTTCCTACTGTTTTGGCATATTCAGCTAACCTAACATCTCCAACTCCAATCTGTGTTTTTGCCTTAATTTTTTTTCAGGTATTGCATATTAGCTTGTCTTATGTTTTTTCGTATTGCATGCAAATTATAGTTTTGCTGATCTCTTTTGCCTTTGCTTATTGTTGCTCAGTTTATGCTGATGGAAGTATTTGTTTGGACATCTTGCAAAATCAGTGGAGTCCTATATATGATGTAGCTGCTATACTTACTTCAATACAGGTATATAAGATGTTCTAATTGCTACTTCATGCCTCCTTTCTGGTGCCAGGTATTATTAGAGTCCATCACACTATTGAGGACATAATGTTTTCATTGGTCAGTAGGCTGGTGTTATCTGCTGCTAATGAACACATATTTGAACGAGTTCCCTTTCCTTTTCCAATTCTCTGTTTAGACTTGTCCCCTGGGGAGGCCGGGGGGAGTATACAGAACCTTATGCCTCTATTATTTCAGATCATTTAAGAACGCAACAGGTACCTGATGGATTAATCGAATCCCTTGCCAGCGAAAGCAACGGGTTTGCATTCTGGGTCGAGCTCGTCGTACCGGGTTTGCCTAGTGTGGGTTAGTGTGGTTTGCGAGCTATTGCATTAGGAGCGGGGGTTTTACCCTATGCACACCCAAAGGGTAGTGGCTACAGGTTTCCTTTGTCAATTTTTTAAAAAAAAAGCATCTTTAGAAATGCTCTAAAGTAGACTGGTCCTTGTTTGTTGCCTTTGAGGTATCATAGATGTATCCCCAAGTGACACTATTTTCGATGCCGATCAATAAGTTTTTAGTTTTCTGTTGAGATTATTAGTAGACTAAGAATTTTATTTTTGAACAAGCGCATGTAGTTTTGATAATCTAGTTCACAAAATCAAGTCTTTCTTCATTTCTCTAACCTTATTTGTTATAAGCAATGTTCTATTCTTATGTAAGAAATACTCTCAATAGTTCCACGTATTTACTTAATTGCTACGTTATTTTCCCTTTGTTCATTTTATTTGACATATTACTATTTAGTGAGCCAGTAGCTTTTTGTACTGGTAAGTCCTTGATATGTGGATTTTCCTCGTGCAGTCTTTACTCAGTGATCCAAACCCCAATTCGCCAGCTAATTCAGAAGCAGCACGCCTATTTAGCGAGAACAAGCGCGACTACAACAGGAAGGTGCGTGAAATAGTTGAGCAAAGCTGGACAGCAGACTGACTTCTCTGTTGCTAAATACATTACATGGCATTCTCCTGGTTGAGTTGTCTGCATCAAACTAAGATGTTTTCCAGTGTTTTTGCTACATCAATAATCAATGTAGTACAATTTGGTCCTTTTATGTTGTGTTAGGAGCTCTGAGTTTCTTTACCTTGATGTTTTGTTGCTCCACTATGAGAGACTCTGTACATATGATCTGTTGTATCCAATTGTGTGAATTTCTATAAAGCTATATTCCCTTTAATTCTGACGTAGACTGAATTCTGTGAGATATAAAATATCTCATTGCAATTTTGTTTCACTTGAAGTCTCTCTGGACAGCACTTGCTATTGCTTATACATCTGCAGTGCTGTAAATTGAACCAAGTAAATACAGGAGTAGGTAGAAGTGGTCATGTAGTACAACATGTGCCTTTTACCATTACCATAATATAGTCAATTAGTAATCATCGCATGTTTAAGATCATAATATTATAAGTCTTACTTTTTTTCTTAAAACTTCGTGCCCAATTAAGTGTCCATAATACAAAATAGAGGGAGAAATAAATTTCTTCACAAAAAAAAACAAAATTGATACCCCATATGTTTTCTTGTATGTGACACTTTTCTGTTTGATTTGTAGTGATTTTTTATTTTTTTTGCTATATTATGTGGAAAGAACCCTTTGATATAAAAGTTCACATTTTTATGTGGAGTGAAAATTAAATATAAAGGGTGTGCAGAACTCTCACTCTTCCTTTTTTTAATTCTTGACAATAAGGGCAATTTTGATTTTTATATATATTTAGTTTATACGTCTAATTTTTTTTATCTATAATTTCTTACACTATACTCGATCTAGCAAATACCGTCACATAAAATGAAACCAAAGGCCTATAAATGTAAAGAAAAAGAAAGCAACATTAAAAAAAAATGCAAGGAGAGAATCTTTCTTTTTTTCTCTGTTTCCAAATTGTATAATAAGGTAGTGGTCCCACAGCCAGAGAAGTTGACCCCACACCACAAGCTCCTTGTATTGCTCAGAACATGAATCTTTTTTTTAAATTTTTTTTTATCTACTAGACATATTATTATAATTATTAATCTGTCCTGCCTAGCTAGTGGTCCACCCTTGCAAAAACAAATTAAACAATGCCTCAATAATGAAAATTTAAAATAATATCCCTAATTACTTGTCCACTTTTGAATTGACATACCTATTAAAAAAACAATGATTGATTTACCATTTTATCCTATTAATTATGAAGTGGATGAATTTAAAAAACTTAAAATTTTCAAGAAGTTCTATTTTTTTAAAAGTAATTAATTAAGAGTATAATAGGTGAAATTATTTTGTCCTTTCTTAATTTGTCAAAATGGACAAGTAATTAGGGACAACTAAAAAAGGAAAAGTTGACAAGTAATTAGAAAAAGAGGGAATACTATGGTGATAATATAATTCTGGTACGATAACATATGTGCATTTCACTATACACACAATTAATTAATAAACAATTGCCATAAGATGATCAACAAGAAGACCAAAAACAAAACAAAACAAAAAAAAAGTTTTAAATTTGAATTACAAGTTTCAGTAAAAATGTTGCTGCACTGGCAATGGCCAATAGTTTGTTTGATCTTCAACATTAGTGAACATGTTGCAAAATCCTTCTTCATGAGTTTGTTCTTCTATTTTAAAATTAGCTGTTTGAAAAACATGATCATGATTGTTGTTGTTATGTGGACTGTTTGTTGATGATGTTCTTCCAAGATTTACATCTATTATTGTACTATTCTCATCACCACTTCCATTGTTCCAATTTGAACCTTCATTTTCTTTGTTCAGATTAAACAAAATTGGTGTACCTCCTCCTCCTGATTCTCTGTTCCTCAGACTCAGTATCTGCAACTGCATGTATGCCATCACAAATAATCAATGCAAAAATATGATTAAAATTTACAACAACATTGGGAATCGTGCACAACAGTAGTCAGGACGAAAAAGGGAAGTAATAATTATGTATTGAACACAAGAAAAAAGTCGGTGAATTGTTTTAAAAAAGATATTTAATGACGTAAATGAAAGAGTACTTTCCATTATTACATTTTGATTAATTAAAAGCTTTATTAAATATAAGGTCAAATATGAAAAAAATTATTCATTTATTTTGAATTATTAAAAATTCTCAATAATTCACTTAATATGGATCGAGGGAGTCAGGAACTATACTAGTTTATTGCTGCGGAGTGTGGACTGCCAACGATTTTTCTTAGTATTATTTCATAAAATTACATGCAATAAAAGGTGTTTACGATTGCATGATATATCTACTAATCTGAAAAATAAAACAAAAATATTATGTTATGTGAGGTGAAATAACACTAATAGTGTAACCATTCTTTATGTTATAATTATGTAACTTAAATCCTCATTCATTTAATAGAAGTTTAAGTTATATAAGCTGACAGTACAAAAAGTATAAATAGGTTAGTATTTAGTTTAATAGCACGATATGGAAAGTTACCAATTAAGGTCAAAATAGTTAACTTTTACTGTGAATTCAAACATGAAATCTTTAAATTATACATACCTCAGAGTGAAGATTCTTGTTTTGAGTCTTGAGTGCATCATTATCAGACTTAAGTTTATCACACTGTCTCTTCAATATTTCATAATCTTTCTCCAATTGTTTAGTCTTACATCTTGCCCTTCTGTTCTGGAACCAAATTGCAATCTGTCTTGGTTTCAACCCTAAAGCTCTAGCCAATTGCATTTTCCTCTCAGGTTCAAGTTTGTTACCAATTTCAAAACTTCTTTCAAGTGCTTTCACTTGTTCCAAATTCAATCTCCTCTTCTTCTCACCAAGCAATTGTGAAGAGCCATCATCATCCGACATGTCAATATCGTCTACTCGCGAATCTTGATGGTCGAATGACATGGCTCTCCTCATTAACATCGATGAAATTCCTGTATCCGCCACGTCCACAATAAATTAATTTGTCCTTCATGCACACATATAGTGGCGGATCTAGACTATACTAGACACATTTTCAACTCGTAATTTTAAAAGTGTTATGGGTTCAATGTTTTAAAAAATTAAGGTTGAATACATCAAAGTATAAATTCTGAATCCGCTTATATATATACCTAGCTTGGACTAAAATTCCAAAAAATAAAATAATTATGATCTAATAATTTCAAAAGTGTGACGTGCGATGCCCTAATATCACACGTAAAATGATTAGAATTCTCTAAATTTAACCTTGACTATACATAAATATGTAATTAAATAACGCATATATAAAAGAGCAAAATTCATTGATTCTAAATTTTGAATTCGTCACTAATATCACACGTAAAATGAAATACTTAAAGATAATAGTGGGAGAAATATAGAACCTTGAAATTCTTGATGAGGAGGATAAACACTAGGGAAGGAAGGAGGAAGTTCATTGTCTTCAGGTGCTCCAGGAACAAAACCCATAGTACCTGTACTACTAAAAAGCATGTTATAATATCTACAAGGATAATCTTATACACAAAGTAAACCAAATTAAAGTCATCAACAACTATATATATATATATCTTATGTCTTGTTCTTTTCTTTTGTTGGTTGGGTTTGGGGGAGGGGGGGGGGGTTGT